CTGACAGGCCTGTCGTGTATACTTGCTAGACCTGTGGTGCTCCTGCTTCCTGGCAGGCCTGTGGTGCCCCTGGCGGGCCTGTGGCGCCCCTACAAGGCCGTAGGTGCCCCTGACAGGTTTGTGGTGTCCCTGGAAGGACTTTGGTGCCCCTGACAAGCCTGAAGTGTCAAGGACAGACCCTTTAGACGCCAGGGTCAAATTCGTCGGACTGACAACGATTCGCTTACCTGATAACGTTCCTGGCAAGTACTACTTAGCGTCCACAACATACATATATACACATAGCACATTCATATATCCTTGCTTACAATTTGTAAATGTGGTTGTGGCTAAGAGTTAAGATACTGACTAAAATAAAAATAAAATAAAAAACTGAAAATTGGGGCACCACCAAAATGAAGTGGACGAAATCCGTTGAGTTTTTAATTTTGGGTATAGGTAGGGGCACCACTTCGATTAATGACCCTCCCCTTGGAGTTTTCCTGGATCCGCCCCTGCCCCTGGCGTTGGGTAAGATGCCCCCTGCACTATAAGTAACATAAATGGGCACGTGAATCGCCTGAACGAATCAGTAGTCCCTTCGGGCCTGCAGTAGACACCAAACGTCATCGTAAGGGCCCTCAAAAGTAGTCGTAAGGGGCTTCAGAGGTCATCGTTAGGGCCATCATAGTCCAGCGCGGTTAAACAAGCCTCCGTGGTGGCGTTCGGAGACCACTGTGGGGCCCTTATAGGTCTTCATGATGCTTGAGGGCCCTCGAGCCCATCGTGGGGACTTCAGATGCCAGCGCGGCCCGTGGAGCCAACGTGGGAGCCCTCAAAGGATGTCGTGAGGGGCCTTGGAGCCAATAATGTGGCCCACAGAGGCCGTCGTAAGGGCTCTCAGAGTCAGATGCCGCCCAAAAAGTCGCTGTGTGGGCCGAGAGACCGGCATGGGGAGCACCCGACCGTACTGGACTCTCAATAGTCCCAGATCGGCTTTTGTCTCTCATCACAGGTATGTGATAAATGATTTGACGGACTGCTTTAAGGACAGCCTACGGATTTAGGGGGGCGTCTTTCCCCATCAGGACAGGGGGCATCTTACCCCAAGGTACCGAGGTAACATTAAATCAGTACAATTTGTTAGCCATAAAACTACACCCTGAAACAACCTGTTTGGGACACAGTACACGCATGTTAATTTATCACGACTATAGCAAGGGACGCGAAAATTCTCTACCTTCTTTGATATTTACAATGTTTTGACACCAAAATATTTTTTGAAAGCAGCAAATAAAAAGCATGCAATCACCAGCCAGCCGTTGCCCAACTGAGCCTCGCAAATTTTTGTGCAGTTAACAAGGCAGGCTTCCGCTTTACGCTAAGAACATTTATTTCCAGGCTCGATTCTTTGTTTCGCCGCTAGAGGGGGTGGGGCGTCTTTCCCACCCTGGGCATCTTACCCCACTCTCCCCTACTATCACCGAATCGCGTCTATAATATCTTAACCCTCGCACGACCAGGCCATTTCTCATAACACGAACGACCAGGGGGGGGGGTTGTTACGACCCCCCCCCCTGGCGTTTCGAAACGGAAGGTCGTAGAGCTTAGCGGAAAAAACCAACGGATTGCTCTCAACGAGATCTCGCGATTGGTGGTATATTTTTTGGTCCTAGGTCAACATTTGACCTACTTTTGACCGGTCAAAGGTCAAATTTTCGGAAAAAATAGACTTTTTTCAACTTTCGGCGGCGATTGCGGGGCAAAACGGTGGGAGATATCGACTTGAAACCTTCACTATCGTGTTCCTTGATCAATTCTCTATCGTTTGGTATGTATTTCGTTTCCCTAGCTCTAAAAATGGCGCGTTGGGAGCGCCGGAAGTCGGCAAGGTCACAGTCGGCGGCAGAAATTCGAAAAATCAAAATTTAAATTTTTGAAATCTGATTGTATTTTTGGATTTGGGAGGTCCATTTGCTCCCTATAGAAGCTAATATTGCTGCATATTCCCATTGAGGTGACAAGAATTAGCAAAATAGTGGTTCGGGCGCTTTTCAAAAATAGTACCGGACGCTGTTCCTCTTGTGACGTCATAGCTCCGTGACCTGACCTGACCCGGTCAAATTTCTTATACCATATGATAGCCAATACTTGCCCCAACATGCATGGGAAGTTTCATCACGATCCATCAACCGATGTCCGTACCACCGGCAGGAAACCTCGGGCGTTGGCACTCAGTTTGTGAAAATCCGGCCGGAGGCTGTACCTCTTATGACGTCATAACTCCGTGACCTGACATGACCCGATCAATTTTTTTTCGGCAAAAGATGCGCAAAGGTTGCCCCAGAGGGTATTGAAAATTTCAGCCCGCTACAACAAGCCGTTTAGCGTGCACTTCGAAAAAACCTCAGGGGGGGGGGGGTTGATACAACCCCCCCCCCCCCCTAGGCGTTCTAGGGTTAAATTTGACAATGCATTCAGAAGATGAGAAAGTAAAAATGACGCTACTATTATAATGCCACACAGTGACCACCGTTAGCGATCATCCATGAAGTACAGTTTATATTGCCGCAACTGGGGAACACAGGAGCCTTATTGAAGCTGCTTCCGTGGCAATGAGCAAGTAATGGGATGGTACTTTAGCATAGAGCTCTGAATTATCCGGACACATTTCTGATTCGACGTTCCTATGAGCACGTTTTGATGACACTAAAAAGTTGGGTAAATGAATGCGAAATACGGTGCATACTAATACTATAACATATACGCCTTAAAATATTGTGCTACGTTCGGTCTTTTTTCATAACAAATGGTTCACTCACACCGAACCTCAGAATCCAGTATAGGCTTCGTGCCACCGGGCGTCCTGGCGCCGCCAGGCACCGTTTATACAATGGACCCTCGAACCATCCCGCAGCGCATTCCTAAGACCGAGCTGTCGCGAACCCGAGGCCGCATAGTGCGCCGAACAATGTCAGTGTCAATGCATAACAGAATGTTCCTGCATTGAGCGGAACATGGTCCCATTGTAGTGTGATCTGAGGAATACGAAAACAGTGGTAAAAACTTAACCCTCGCCCGTATAGGGGGGGGGGGTCGAACGGACCCCCATGGTTTTTCGCGAATAACTCGCGTAAAAAGCGGCCGATCGCGACGAAACTTTCAGTACCCTCGCGTTCATCAATTTCACACCTACCCTGAAAATTTCATGACCCTGACCCAAATGACCTTTGACCTGTGACCTACTTTTCGAGATCATGTTTGGCTGGAATCGCGATTCGGCGTATGTCGGCTCGCATTAGCCGCGCGTTTACAGTCTTTTCGTGGTTTCAAGCGTTCAAACATGTGATATGATGTTGCCCCTATGCATAAGGGTGGGTGTCAAGGTCACCTGAAGGTCAGGTCAGGTCATTGACCTTTGATGACCTCGGTTCACTTTTTCGAGTCTTACATGTTTCTAGGCCAGGTTTTGGAGCTGAATTCGAATTTAGCAACCATATGAACATTTACGAAGTAGTTTTGGTGCCTTCGTAACATGTTACGAAGCTGTCAGAGGCGGTTGCCACCTACTACGAATACCCTTACTGGTTGACCTGACCTGACCTGACCTGACCCGACCTGGCCTAAATACATGAAGACATCATCTGTGATCAAAACTAACATGATATTCGTGATCAGCACCCCGAAAAACCCCATAGCAGCCACACTTTACGACGTTCTAACAGGTCCCGATTTTCCCGCCTTTGGGGTCATTGACCTGACCTGCAAGGTCAACCAATGACCTAGGACCTTAAAATTGGGTATCATCGGCTTCCTCTCGTCACGGGCAACACGCTCGTTTTTTCCGCGAAGCTCTAGCTCGATCAGGGGCGAAACGGCAAGGGGGGGGGGTCCAACGGACCCCCCCCCCCCCCCTTATACGTTCGCGGCTGGAAAAAACACCAATATGGGCGAGGGTTAACATTGCCAAAATACCCAGATTTTTCTTCCGTCATCTTCCTCATTATCGCCTCATACAGTTCCGAACAGTAAAATGTTTGTGTCTGAATGCAACCCCCTTTTTGCTATTACAAATCAAACGAAGGGCGTGTGTGACCAATCTACTGCAACCATTTTACGTAACATGGGAGATGGAGACAGCTGCACAGTTGTGCAAACAATCAGCTCCCCATTGCGAAAGCTTATGAAGCTGTCGATGTTTCTCGAACGTGTGGCATGCATCTATCTCCCTCTGAGTCATGTGAATTGTGAAGTAAGCATCCATTGACATAAGTTGGACATATGCACCAACGTCCTTCCAGATCATGAGTTCCAGATGACAGTGACACGATGCTTTTTTGCTCGCGAGATCTTGTCAGTCATCTTCGGAACAGAGTCCTCACATTTTTCATAGTTCTTCAAAATTGAAATTGCGAGCGAGGTTACTTTAAACGTATCAGTTAACATAGTATGGTCGCTATGCAGTACATTACATAAATTACGGTTTAATGGCAGCCCCGAGTGTCCCCTAATGCAACTGGCCAATTGTTAAGTGTGTGCCAAACGAATACGGTAAACAAACCATTACCGACCACCGGGAGCCGTTAGCAGAGCCCTTATGGCATACTATCCATCCGTAACGAGCTCCTAGCGAACATCGTCAACTAAAAACAAGCATGCGTATTGCGTAGGTACCGTACAAACTGGTATATAAAATCAACCATGCAGCATGCTTGGCACAATAGCCTTAGGGCACTACGATGTCGTACGGTGACGATACGTCTAATCATATTGTAATAATTAATTCATAACATCATTTATTAGCTAATTGATAATTCTAGTTATCCATCTGTTATTTATTACACAATGGTTTCACGCATAGCCATCAGGTATCGATGAGTCTATTTTTACGTGGTTTGGCGCTCGGGGACAGACGACATGATATGTGCACTCCCCGGCCCTAGGTCCCCTCTCCGGAGCACACTCGACGGTTGGATCGGCCCGTCAGTTGCTGCAGCGGAAGTGTGGGATGTCCCACTCACCTGTACAAGCCCACCGTTCAGGTCGTATTTGATCCCCAGCTGGGCCAGCCGCACCATAGTGCGCCGATGAGCCGCCTCGCGCCGCTTCTGAGCGTTCTTCTTCTGGGTGGGGCCTGCAACAGGGAGTGGTGGGGCATGTTACGTGGTTCTAAGACCGCTAAAAAGGCCAAAATACATATTAGCTAGGGCTTGACCAAGGCCATAATACAAACCTTGACAATGAGAAATTGTGAAACGGAAAACGGTTCATAAGCGAATGAGCATGAAAACGTCGGAAACTTAAGAACCAGTATAACGCCTTTTGGGGCGACTAACGGAGCGAGCGAGAGGGTGGGCCTTGCACGTGCGAAATTGCGAGGGGGTACCTCCAACTGACTTGTGCATGGCATCCTACTAACCGGTCTCTAGCGATGTGCCAAATTTGGGCACAATCGGACCAGCCGTTCTCGAGACCTGGAAGCGGCACCCTGCACGTGCGCACGTGCAAAATGGGTCCCAACTGACTTGTGCACGGCACCCTACTAACCGGTCCCTAACTGTGTACCAAATTTGAGGGTAATTGGTCGAGCCGTTCTCGAGATCTGGAAACGACCCCTGCACGTGCGCACGTGCACTGTGCAGCAGCGCCCCAACTCTAGCACATGGATATGCAGTGCCTAGTGGGTGCCTACCTACATGCCAACTTTCAGCGCAATCGGCCAAGTAGTTACCGAGATATTGCAACAATTACAAAACGGACACCTCTTCGTTTTGCACGTGGCACGTGCATAAGGGGTTACCCACATGCATCAGGAATAGTCCAATACTTGGTAGAAGGAATGAAGCTACCCTACAAAAATTACCGCGTGTAAATCGGTCAAGTGGTTGCTGAGATATAAGCCTCGCAAAAGCGTGACCACGGCCGGCCGGCCGCTCATACTCAGAAATTTCCGTTAATCTAAGGAAAGACTACGCTCGCTTCGCTCGCTCCGTAATCACCAGTATAACGCCTTTTGGGGCGACTAACGGAGCGAGCGAGAGGGTGGGCCTTGCACGTGCGAAATTGTGAGGGGTACCTCCATTTGACTTGTGCACGGCACCCTACTAACCGGTTTCTACCGACGTGCCAAATTTGGGCACAATCGGCCCAGCCGTTCTCGAGATCTGGAAGCGGCACCCTGCACGTGCGCACGTGCAAAAGGGGTCCCAACTGACTTGTGCACGGCACCCTACTAACCGGTCCCTAAATGTGTACCAAATTTGAGCGCAATCGGTCGAGCCGTTCTCGAGATCTGGAAACGACCCCTGCACGTGCGCACGTGCAGCAGCACCCCAACTCTGGCACATGGATATGCAGTGCCTAATGGGTGCCTACCTACATGCCAACTTTCAGCGCAATCGGCCAAGTAGTTACCGAGATATTGCAACAATCACAAAACGGACACCTCTTCGTTTTGCACGTGGCACGTGCATAAGGGGTCACCCACATGCATCAGGAATAGTCCAATACTTGGTAGAAGGAATGAAGCTACCCTACAAAAATTACCGCGTGTAAATCGGTCAAGTGGTTGCTGAGATATAAGCCTCGCAAAAGCGTGACCACGGCCGGCCGGCCGGCCGGCCGGCCGCTCATACTCAGAAATTTCCGTTAATCTAAGGAAAGACTACGCTCGCTTCGCTCGCTCCGTAACAAAAAAACTTTTGAACTAAATTGGCGTGAAACGGTAACCCGTCCTCACCTAATGATCGGTAAACTCACGCCGTCTGCAGCGCACGCTTGCTGCCTGCCCCGCCACAAGGCTGTAGCGACGCGAGTCGGACGGTACATAGGTGGCAGCACCCGACGCAAACTACCCAGGGCTACGCTATCTGGCAGGCCACAACGAACGACCTAGGATGCAAATACCATAAGATAACTTTTAACGCTGCATGTGTGCGAGCTGTATTCCTCGTAGAGCACAAGGTGAGAAAGAAAACATTTTTGCGCAGAGTGTCCTCAATTTTGGCACGACAGACAGTGGTGAAGTAGGGCTCGGTCATGTCGCAGCATCTCTCGCTCACCTTTCCGAGCGGAGAGGAGCTCGAGGGCCCGCTCTGTCCGCTTCTGGCCCGGACAATTGCGGCCCGGCCGGCGGGTGGCGCTGGCGAACGTGGCCGCCGTCACCTGCTCCGGGGGTAGCACCGTGCCTGCACGGGGACACGGACGGGATACAGTGAGACCGGGGATGCCGCTCACCGATACACGATCGTAAGTGAGTGGAATTGCCTTTAATGACCACAACATTTTGATGGAAATGTCAGTACTGAGGGTGAGTAAGTCATACAAATATTTTCAATGACACTTCATTGTACAAAAAAAATGCAGTGTTCGCACTTACATTTCAGGATTTTCTCAAACATCAAATAGTTGTTCATGGTTTCTGCAGCAATCTTTGCCACCTCTTCTTCCAGGAATTGAACATAGCCAAAGCCCTTGCTGTTACCAGTCTGAAATATGGACACAAGATGAATGTTTTAATGAGGTCATAAGCATGCAATCAGATTATAAGAATTTTGGATGGGGTAAGCTGCAGCATGCTATTTGGAATACATTTGACTTAATTCACCAAGAATAAAATACAATATGGCAAAATGCAACTAGCATGTAAAATAGTAGCTACCATTGCATATTATGTATTTTTATTTTGCTTTCCAGCATTTCATGTTCAGTATACATGCAATGTATCAACTGAGACCAAATTTGATAGGTAAAATCCTATTCAATTTTGTCAAATACACCAAGAATGTCAAAACAAACATTGGCCTGCCTGGAAATAATCCATGTAGGATGGGCTGCACCAAATGTCATGAGCCATGCTCGTAATATAACAAACGGGGTGATTTATACCTAGATGACCAATCTGGAATATCTAATTGCACCAACCTTCGGACTCCTGGCAACACATACACGAAGGACTGTCCCAAACTGTGAGAAGAAGCCCTTCATTTCATCTTCATAAAATCCATGAGGAATGTGCTTGAGGTAAACAACTCCTGTCTTCCCAAAGTTCTTCACCCTCTTTTTCTTTGGTTTTTTAGTGCTGGGTGACTGAAAGAAAAAGAAGTACATTAGCAAAAAAGAGGGTATGGTAGAGAGAAAATGCATTTTGATATTATTATCAGTTATTTGAGTTCATAAAATCCATCAGGAAGGCTGAGTAAACAGCAATCACTTAAATTTTTATACAGTTTGAAGAAATATATCAAAGTCACGAGAATACTATTACAGAAAGTGAAGTAATAAAAAACTAAAAGTAAACTATTACACCTCATTGAAGGTGTTCTGCCGCTACTGCATCATTGATACCTAGCCCTTGTATCTGTTCTTACCTATGTTTGCATCATTATACGTTATCATATTTAAAGCATTAGACACAAAAAATTGATAGTGTAAGAGCTTGCCACAAGAGGAAAATTGACAAATAAATTAGAAAGACAACAAATCAAAATATATATCAACCAATATAACAAAATAAAACAACTTCTCAATCAAATATTAAGCATTGGATGAAAAAGCACTTACGGTTTCAACTTTATACAAATAAAATTAAATTGATATGAAAAGTAGGCGCTCGAACTCAGGTTGTGCCACACACAATATAACAACATTTCAATTTGCGTCAAACCCAATTCCTACTATTGAATAGGTACTTACTTGAGATGTCTTTCGTTCCACGGATACTTTTTCAGCTGTTTTCGCCATAGCGTAGATTTGTGTCAATACTAGAAGGAAAACGAGTGGATTGTTATTATACTCTAATAAATACGGACACAGACACTCCACTACGTTTGAAAATTACGAAAAAAAAAGCCACGAGTCACATGTGTGACCTATTGCCCCACGTTCGTATATCAGCCGCCATATATGTCGAAATGGATCATCTAAAACAATGCTATCTTATTTATGCTACGTCTGTACACTTAGCGAATTATTGACATTGACGTTCAGCGACAGATTCGCGGACCCCTAGGAATCCGCTGAAAATCCCTATATAGGGGTAACTTGGGGCGAAGAGTCGCGTGGTGCAATCCGTTAAACCCTACACCTAATACTTTTCCCGCTAGAGGGCAGCAAAGATCCAGCAACAGGTTCGCCGGACCCCTAGGATTCCGCTGAAAATCCCTACATGGGGGTAACCTGGGGCGTAGAGTCGCGTGATGCAATCCGTTAAACCCTACACCTAATACTTTTCCCGCTAGAGGGCAGCAAAGGTCCAGCGACAGATTCGCCGGACCCCTAGGAATCCGCTGAAAATCCCTATATAGGGGTAACTTGGGGCGTAGAGTCGCGTGGTGCAATCCGTTAAAGGGACCCTCCCACCTTAACATTAGTTTTGAGTTGAGATAGCCAAGTTTGCGGCCAGGCTCAGAAACCACCATTTATCCTGGTCGCAACCCCCGCAGCTTTATGGTGTTCAAGAAATTTCTTCCCTTTACTTGCAGGGTGGGACCAGCGTGGTCCCTATCTCTTAACCATTACGGGAATCTGATGACGTCATCAGGCTTTCGAACGTCCGTTAAATGTTTGACTAAAACGTTTTGTAGCACGCGGTGGTATATGCTGCTTTGCGCGCAACAAATGCCGCACTTTCAAATAAAGTCGCTAGGAACAGCGGAGATCCCAAAAAGTAAACAAAAGTATAAGTCTAATATCTTGAAAACCGGTGAATATTTTTCGATGAAATTTGGTAGATATGCGTTTTTGCTCTTTCTGAACCGAGCGACATCACTTTCATGCCAATTCATTAACTTTTTTGAAGGTGGGAGGGTCCCTTTAAACCCTACACCTAATACTTTTCCCGCTAGAGGGCAGCAAAGTTCCAGCGACAGATTCGCCGGACCCCTAGGAATCCGCTGAAAATCCCTACATAGGGGTAACTTGGGGCGTAGAGTCGCGTGGTGTAATCTGTTAAACCCTACACCTAATACTTTTCCCGCTAGAGGGCAGCAAAGTTCCAGCGACAGATTCGCCGGACCCCTAGGAATACGCTGAAAATCCCTATGTAGGGGTAACTTGGGGCGTAGAGTCGCGTGGTGCAATCCGTTAAACCCTACACCAAATACTTTTCCCGCTAGAGGGCAGAAAATTCCAGCGACAGATTCGCCGGACCCCTAGGATTCCGCTGAAAATCCCTACATAGGGGTAACTTGGGGCGTAGAGTCGCGTGGTGCAATCCGTTAAACCCTACACCTAATACTTTTCCCGCTAGAGGGCAGCAAAGTTCCAGCGACAGATTCGCCGGACCCCTAGGAATCCGCTGAAAATCCCTATATAGGGGTAACTTGGGGCGTAGAGTCGCGTGGTGCCATCCGTTAAACCCTACACCAAATACTTTTCCCGCTAGAGGGCAGCAAAGTTCCAGCGACAGATTCGCCGGACCCCTAGGAATCGCCTGAAAATCCCTACATAGGGGTAACTTGGGGCGTAGAGTCGCGTGGTGTAATCCGTTAAACCCTACAACTAATACTTTTGCCGCTAGAGGGCAGCAAAGTTCCAGCGACAGATTCGCCGGACCCCTAGGATTCCGCTGAAAATCACTACATAGGGGTAACTTGGGGAGTAGAGTCGCGTGGTGCAATCCGTTAAACCCTACACCTAATACTTTTCCCGCTAGAGGGCAGCAAAGTTCCAGCGACAGATTCGCCGGACCCCTAGGATTCCGCTGAAATAGGGGTAACTTGGTCGCCGGACTCCTGGGATTCCGCTGAAAATCACTACACTGGGTAACTTGGGGCGTAGAGTCGCGTGGTGCAATCCGTTAAACCCTACACTTAATACTTTTGCCGCTAGAGGGCAGCAAAGTTCCAGCGACAGATTCGCCGGACCCCTAGGATTCCGCTGAAAATCCCTACATAGGGGTAACTTGGGGCGTAGAGTCGCGTCGTGCAATCCGTTAAACCCTACACCTAATACTTTTCCCGCTAGAGGGCAGAAAAGTTCCAGCGACAGATTCGCCGGACCCCTAGGAATCCGCTGAAAATCCCTGTATAAGGGTAACTTGGGGCGTAGAGTCGCGTGGTGCAATCCGTTAAACCCTACACCAAATACTTTTCCCGCTAGAGGGCAGCAAAGTTCCAGCGACAGATTTGCCGGACCCCTAGGATTCCGCTGAAAATTCCTCCATAGGGGTAACTTGGGGCGTAGAGTCGCGTGGTGCAATCCGTTAAACCCTACACCTAATACTTTTCCCGCTAGAGGGCAGCAAAGTTCCAGCGACAGATTCGCCGGACCCCTAGGATTCCGCTGAAATAGGGGTAACTTGGTCGCCGGACCCCTGGGATTCCGCTGAAAATCACTACATAGGGGTAACTTGAGGCGTAGAGTCGCGTGGTGCAATCCGTTAAACCCTACACCTAATACTTTTGCCGCTAGAGGGCAGCAAAGTTCCAGCGACAGATTCGCCGAACCCCTAGGATTCCGCTGAAAATCCTTATATAGGGGTAATTTGGGGCGTAGAGTCGCGTGGTGCAATCCGTTAAACCCTACACCTAATACTTTTCCCGCTAGAGGGCAGCAAAGTTCCAGCAACAGGTTCGCCGGACCCCTAGGAATCCGCTGAAAATCCCTATATAGGGGTAACTTGGGGCGAACAGTCGCGTGGTGCAAACCGTTAAACCCTACACCTAATACTTTTCCCGCTAGAGGGCAGCAAAGATCCAGCAACAGGTTCGCCGGACCCCTAGGATTCCGCTGAAAATCCCTACATGGGAGTAACCTGGGGCGTAGAGTCGCGTGGTGCAATCCGTTAAACCCTACACCTAATACTTTTCCCGCTAGAGGGCAGCAAAGTTCCAGCGACAGATTCGCCGGACCCCTAGGAATCCGCTGAAAATCCCTATATAGGGGTAACTTGGGACGTAGAGTCGCGTGGTGCAATCCGTTAAACCCTACACCTAATACTTTTCCCGCTAGAGGGCAGCAAAGTTCCAGCGACAGATTCGCCGGACCCATAGGAATCCGCTGAAAATCCCTATATAGGGGTAACTTGGGGCGTAGAGTCGCGTGGTGCAATCCGTTAAACCCTACACCTAATACTTTTCCCGCTAGAGGGCAGCAAAGTTCCAGCGACAGATTCGCCGGACCCCTAGGAATCCGCTGAAAATCCCTACATAGGGGTAACTTGGGGCGTAGAGTCGCGTGGAGCAATCCGTTAAACCCTACACCTAATACTTTTCCCGCTAGAGGGCAGCAAAGTTCCAGCGACAGATTCGCCGGACCCCTAGGATTCCGCTGAAATAGGGGTAACTTGGTCGCCGGACTCCTGGGATTCCGCTGAAAATCACTACATAGGGGTAACTTGGGGCGTAGAGTCGCGTGGTGCAATCCGTTAAACCCTACACCTAATACTTTTGCCGCTAGAGGGCAGCAAAGTTCCAGCGACAGATTCGCCGGACCCCTAGGATTCCGCTGAAAATCCCTACATAGGGGTAACTTGGGGCGTAGAGTCGCGTGGTGTAATCCGTTAAACCCTACACCTAATACTTTTCCCGCTAGAGGGCAGCAAAGTTCCAGCGACAGATTCGCCGGACCCCTAGGAATCCGCTGAAAATCCCTATATAGGGGTAACTTGGGGCGTAGAGTCGCGTGGTGCAATCCGTTAAACCTTACACCAAATACTTTTTCCGCTAGAGGGCAGCAAAGTTCCAGCGACAGATTCGCCGGACCCCTAGGATTCCGCTGAAAATCCCTCCATAGGGGTAACTTGGGGCGTAGAGTCGCGTCTTGCAATCCGTTAAACCCTACACCTAATTCTTTTCCCGCTAGAGGGTAGCAAAGTTCCAGCGACAGATTCGCCGGACCCCTAGGATTCCGCTGAAAATCCCTCCATAGGGGTAAGTTGGGGCGTAGAGTCGCGTGTTGCAATCCGTTAAACCCTACACCTTATACTTTTCCCGCTAGAGGGCAGCAAAGTTCCAGCGACAGATTCGCCGGACCCCTAGGATTCCGCTGAAATAGGGGTAACTTCGTCGCCGGACCCCTGGGATTCCGCTGAAAATCACTAACATAGGGGTAACTTGGGGCGTAGAGTCGCGTGGTGCAATCCGTTAAACCCTACACCTAATACTTTTGCCGCTAGAGGGCAGCAAAGTTCCAGCGACAGATTCGCCGGACCCCTAGGATTCCGCTGAAAATCCCTACATAGGGGTAACTTGGGGCGTAGAGTCGCGTGGTGCAATCCGTTAAACCCTACACCTTATACTTTTTCCGCTAGAGGGCAGCAAAGTTCCAGCGACAGATTCGCCGGACCCCTAGGAATCCGCTGAAAATCCCTACATAGGGGTAACTTGGGGCGTAGAGTCGCGTGGTGTAATCCGTTAAACCCTACGCCTAATACTCTTCCCGCTAGAGGGCAGCAAAGTTCCAGCGACAGATTCGCCGGACCCCTAGGATTCCGCTGAAAATCACTACACAGGGGTAACTTGGGGCGTAGAGTCGCGTGGTGCAATTCGATAAACCCTACACCTAATACTTTTCCCGCTAGAGGGCAGCAAATTTCCAGCGACAGATTCGCCGGACCCCTAGGATTCCGCTGAAATAGGGGAAACTTGGTCGCCGGACGCCTGGGATTCCGCTGAAAATCCCTATATAGGGGTAACTTGGGGCGAAGAGTCGCGTGGTGCAATCCGTTAAACCCTACACCTAATACTTTTCCCGCTAGAGGGCAGCAAAGTTCCAGCGACAGATTCGCCGGACCCCTAGGATTCCGCTGAAGTAGGGGTAACTTGGTCGCCGGACCCCTAGGATTCCGCAGAAAATCCTTATATAGGGGTAACTTGGGGCGTAGAGTCGCGTGGTGTTATCCGTTAAACCCTACACCTAATACTTTTCCCGCTAGAGGGCAGCAAAGTTCCAGCGACAGATTCGCCGGACCCCTAGGAATCCGCTGAATATCCCTATATAGGGGTAACTTGGGGCGTAGAGTCGCGTGGTGCAATCCGTTA